GTTTGTTGATGGGCACTTAGGTTGTTTCCAACTCCTTGCTATTGTGAACAAAGCTGCAATAAACATGGGTGTGCATATATCTGCTTGGATGTCAGCTATATGGTCGAGTGGTGAGTGTGTGTTTTTTAACTTTAAAAAACCCAACAATGCACACAAACCCTTTTCATCACATCATGATGACCCTTTTCAGCAGAGAACCACCACCACATGTGGTGCCCAAGGTCCTAAATAGTCATAGAGGCAGAGTGCCTCAGCCTTCCCCCAGCAGGCAGCTCGTGGGCTCAAAGCACTGACCTTTTGGTCAGTTGCTTAATGTCTTATCCTCTGTGCCACTAGGGCTCCTTAGTAGATATAATTACACACAATTATAGATTTTTATTATCTTTTTTCCCAAGCCTTTCTGAAAGTCACTCATTAACTCATTGCTGTTGAGGAGGAAACAACTCCTTAATCCCCCAGTGAGCATTCAGTGGCTGTAAATCACATGGGAGAAGATTGCTCATTATTCTCCATGGAGCAGTTGGTAGACTCAAACCACCTGCCTTTGGGTTGGCAGTGTAATCCCCAAAAGATTCAATCTCAAATGTACCCACTACCCAGTCCCAACAGTTACCAACATCGTCCAATCTTGCTTGTTCTGTCTCTCTCTGCTTCCTGAAACCCCAACTATAAAGGAAATCGCAGACATTATGCCTCTGAAAAACCTATGTAAATGTCATCCTCAATATAGTTAATCTTTGAATCAGTTCTCCTAATAGTACATTTTTGTCTCTTTCTTTTAATCCAGTTTCTAGATGGAATTCGGAGACTGTGGACTTCCAGGAACTGAAGTCAGCATTAACTGAGGTTCCTGCTTCTGGAATCCTGAAGGAGAGCCCATCAGGGGGCCACAGGAGCAAAGAGGGGGACGCTGGTACGATGTTAGATTTCTTCCCTTTGGTGCCCACATGGTCTTTATCCATGTCTAGTCCCATGTAATGTTTAGAATTAAGTCAGCCTGTGTAGCAAGCAAATAACTTCTTTGGATAACAGGGAGACCGAGAGAACCAACTTCCCCTCTTTGCTCTTGTTCAGGGCAAGCTGGCAGTAAGTCTGCCTTTCCCTAAGGCAGTGCTGTATCTTATTACCCACATGTGCAGTCTGAGCCGGGCGGCACTGAGGGAAATGAAACCGGCTTCCTCTGTTGCTGATGTGGTTAGGTGATGTTGAGTAAATCTCATAGTGAGCCTATGAACAGCCAACTTGAATCCTGCCCTAATCGGTGCCATTCTCATCATCTCTGACACACTAAAGCCCATTGCTGAAGTCATTGTGTCAATCCATCTCATTAGAGATATTCTTATCCTTTGCTGACCTTCCATCTTTCCAAGCATGATGTCCCTTTCCTAGGAATAGCCTCACCTAGCTACAGGTCCATAGCATGAGAGACAAAACTTCACCATTATTGTCTCCATGGAGCACTCTGGCTGCACCTTTACCAAGACATATCTGATTATTCTTTTGGCAGTATACGGCACCAAATTAAAAGACATCAATTCTTCTGTCATACTTATTCATTGTTCAGCCTTCTAATGCATAACCGGTGATTGAGAAGACCGTGGCCTTAATCAGGTGCACCTTAGTCTTCAAACTGACATCATTGCTCTTTAGAATTATGGAATGGTCCCTGACAGCAGACTTGACCAATGTAATACATCTTCTGATCTCCTGACTGGTGGTACCAAGGATGCTTATTATTGATCCAAGCAAGATTAAATCAATGACAGTTCCAACCAATCCTTTCTCCTTCTATCATAATGTTGACTATTGGTCCTGTGGTGAAGACCTTTGTCTTCTTGATATTGAGATGTAATCCATACCTTGATCTTCTGATTCAACTCCAGTTCAAAGTAACCCAAAGTGTGTCAGACTAGAACTATGTGTGCTCCATTGGCGTTTCAGAGGCTGATTTCTTAGAAAAAAATTTTCCAAGTGTTTCATTTGAGGCACCTCCAGAGGACTTGAACTTCCAACCTTTCAATTAACATGTTAAAATGTTAACCATTTGCCCTACCCTGGGGCTCTAGAGGAAGATGAGAGATATGCATATTTCACTTACTTAAATATCCAATAGAATAAATCACACTTGAACAATTCCATTTTTCAGTAGATCCTTTGAATTCTCTCCATATTAGGTATACACTATGCATCATCTCTGCACACAGTCTGTTACAACGGTGAGGATATGTTTTATGAACTTTCAGAACTTATATTAATACAATTTACCCTTATCCAAAGTGTCCCCTGAGAAACTGACCTTAAGATTTAGATTCTGGTCTTCAGAAACTGTAATTGCTAGTGTTACTGCTACCACCGAATGGTATACACTGAATGGTAGACAGGGGTTATGCTGTCTTCCTAGCATTATCTTCTTGAGTTGTGAGTCCTAAGTCTGTACCTTCAGTGAGAAAAATGAAGGTGTTCATAAAAGCATAGAGACTTATCATGTTCAACTAATTTAAACACCAACCATCTTTTCATTAAATTATTTAAATTCTATCCAAATATCATTTTATTGAATATGTGGCCCATGGGCTAAAACAAACAAACAAAAATACCACCAAACTCATTGTTGTTGAGTTGGAATTGTCTCCTAGACGACCCACTAACTGGGTTTCAGAGGCTGTAAACTGCATGACGGCATATTGCTCATCTTTCTCCCTAGAAGCCAACATGGATTCCAACCACTAGAGAGGTATGTTATGCCCTTTGAATTAGCAACACAGCACCTTACAGACTAGTCTAACAGAACTCCCTGGTCTGTAGGAGAGGCCTTGAAAAAGGTTATTTTAGAAAGGTTTTTTTTCTGCTGTAAAAGATTTTATTAAAAATTTTAGACGCAAAGATGTTACTTGAGGACTAAGGTGCCCCTGACCCAAGGTATCATATAGAAAGTATTTTTAAACTTAGTTTCTTTTTCTTTCTCTGATTTTAAGACAATGAAATAAATCAGGCATTGTTGTTGTTCTGAGGTGCCACCAAATCAGTTCTGACCCTTAGTGAGATCATGCACAAGAGAGCAAACAACACCCAGTTCTGCATCACCCTGTATTGCGTATTTGGTCGATTCAAGACTAAACAGGTTGGTTAAAAAAAATAAATCAATCTTCAACTTCTTTATCCTTTGCATTAGTGCTTGGTACATAAATTTGCGTACTGGTTTTATTAGCTGGTCTTCCTTGTAGGGATGTATATATCATCCTATCATTGACCGACTTGTACTTCAGAATAGATCTGGAATTTTAGGTTTTTTTTTTTAAATTATAAATGAAGATCAGTTCTCCTTTCCCAGCAGAGTGGACCATGTGATTAGCTGATTCAAAATGGCCAAGTCCAGCCTATTTCTGCTCCCAATGCCTAGGAAATCGAGCCTTAATCATTTCATCTCCTTTTTTTACAAGTTCCAATTTTTCCTTGATGGATACTTCCTGCATGCATTATTCCAGTTAACAATGGATGTTTGCAGCGGTTACTTCTCATTTTAAGTCATGCTGCATTGTCAGATGAAGCCTCCCAAGCTTTATTCCATCAATGCCATTAAGGACACAGCTCTTCCCCGGTGGTATTTTGAGTGCCTTTCCAGCTGAGAGGCTCATCTTCCTGCACCTATCAATGTTCCACTACTATCCAAAAAGTCACCAGTCGATCTATTTCTTTCTTTAATAGGATGTAGATCACTAGCTCTTTTTCCCCAGTCTGTCTCAGTGTGAAGGTTCTCCTGAAACCTGTCCACCACAGGTCACCCTGCTGGTATTTGAAATGCTAGCGCCACAATCTCCAGCACCACAACATGCCAGCCGCCAAAAATGCCAATCTGACAGGAAAGTGGTAGAAATCTTGCATGTTGCTGTTGTTAGGCATCATCTAGTCAAGGATGATTCCTAACAATCCTATAAACAACAGATCTGAACCCTGTCTTCTCCTGTGCCAACCTCACAATCTCTAACCCACTCGAGTCTATTGGTACAGTCACTGTGGCATTGCCTGATTGAGGATCTTCCTCTCATTCACTGTTCCCCACCTTTATATTACATCAAGAAGTGCTATAGCGTGTATTGGTGTGTCCACTACCCAGTAAAGTAGAATGTATAAGGCTAAAGCCCTCTGTTTAGTCTTAATCTTTACAGCTGATGCAGAATAGATGAAGTTCAATTCATACATGAATGCCACTCAAATTCTGTGCCATCTTCATGATGGGTAGCATATCATTGCTCTCACTGAAGTGGCTGTGCTTGAGGTGTATTGGTCAGATATTGACCTGAGTCTCTCCGACATGGGAAGTGAGAATTCTACCACTGAACTACAAATGGACCCCACACGCACATTCTCATATGTGATATCTTTTATTGTTATTGTTAGGTGCCACTGAATCAGTTCCGACTCATAGCAATCCTACGTTGTTGTTGTGTACTGTAGAGTCAGAACTAGCCCATAGCTAACCCTCCAGCAGGTTTTCAGAGGCAGTTAAACACATGAGAGGAGATTGTCCACCCTTCTCCCACAAAGCATCTGGTAGATTTGAACAGCATGCCTTTGAGATTGCAACACAGCTTCTTGCCACTAGGCCACCAGTGCTCCCTGACTCAGCAATCCTAGGTACAACAGAACCAAACCTACCCATTCATATACTATCTTCATGATATCTGCTGTGCTTAAACTCACTGACAATGTTTCAGTCACTGAATCAATCCATCTCATCGAGGGTCATCCTTTGCTTCTACTTTTTTTTTACCTTCTACTTTTCCAAGTATGGTGTATTTTTCTAATAACTTCTTGGTAAAATGGAGAAAATATGTGAGATGAAGTCTCACCATCATTGTTTCTAAGGAGCACTATGGTTGCTCTTCATCCAAGACAGATCTGTTTGTTCTTTTGGTGGTCTATGGTAGTGCCAATATTCTTGGCCAACACTGTAATTTAAAATCATTGATTCTTTTTCTGTCATTTTTATTCATTCTCTAACCTTCACATGCATAGGAAGCAACTGAAAATATCATGACTTGGATCTAGTGCACCTTAATCTTCAAATTGACATCTTCACTCTTTAGGGCTTTGAAAAGCTCCTTAGCTGCAGAACTGCCCAGTGCAACACATCTTTTTATTTCATGACTGACTGCTGCTACCATGGGTATTGATTATGAATCCAAGGAAAATTAAATTCTTGACAATTTATATCTTTGAAAACGCTATATCTAAATATCATAGATTGATAAATATCATCCATATTTCTATAACTATCTAACTAGCTAGCTAGCTAGCTATCCTAGGGAGCTCTTGTGGTCTAGTGGCAAGAAGCTGTTCTGCAATCCCAAAGGTATTCAGTTCAAATCCACCAGATGTTCCATGGGAGAAAGATGGGTAATCTCCTCCCATGCGATTAACTGCTTCTGAAAGCCCTCTACAGGGTCAGCTGTGGGTCAGTTCCGACTCGACAGTACATTGCAACAACATCTATACATATATCCCACAGGACAAAGATGGGTAGTCTCGTGCAATTTACTGCTTCTGAGAACCTGGTGGAGGGTCAGCTATGAGTTGTTTCTGACTCAACGGCACATAACAACAACATATGCTATATGTAGACAGTTGTTTGATAGACATTCACTGTTGAGTCAGATATAGATATGTATCATAAATTATGATATATAGATAGTTGTTGTTATGCACCGTTGAGTCAGATATAGATATACTTATTGTGTATTATAAATATTATTGTTGTTGTTCTTATGTACTGTTGAGTCAGAACTAGCAGTATTTATAGCTCACCTTCCAGCGGGTATTGAGAGGCAATAAGTCACACGGGAGGAGATTTGTCCATCTATCACCTACAGAGCAGTTGGTAGAGTAAACCACCTGCTTTTGGGTTGGTAGCACAATTACTTATCACTAAGCCACTTAGACATAAGCACATATAACAGAATAGCCACTATCCCAAATGTTATTTCTTATTAGCTAGTTCCCTTTCACAAGCCTGAGCAAACCAAGGCTTAGAGAGCTCTGTTACTTCTGAAGGTCATACAACCATTGGGGCAAGATAGTATTTAAATCTAAAGGGTCTGTCTTTAGGCCCTTCACTTCTCCTTGCTCTGTCATGCATCCATGTTGTCATATTCCGTATTTGGAAAGATTGGTTATGAATCCTTTTATATGTATTTTCTCTTCACCAGGCTGTGGCGAGCTGGTTTGGGTAGGAGAGCCTATCACGCTGAGAACAGCCGAAACAATCACTGGAAAGTATGGTGTGTGGATGAGAGACCCCAAACCCACCTTCCCTTACACTGAGGAGACAACCTGGAGAGTGGACACAGTGGGCACAGACATCCGCCAGGTTTTTGAGTACGACCTCATCAGCCAGTTCCTGCGAGGCTACCCTTCTAAGGTGCACGTGCTGCCCACGACGCTGGAAAGCACTGGCGCTGTGGTGTACCGGGGAAGCCTCTACTTCCAGCGGTCGAGATCTGGGACTGTGATCAGGTATGAGCTGAACACTGAGACAGTGAAGGCCGAGAAGGACATCCCTGGAGCCGGCTACCACGGGCAGTTCCCGTATTCTTGGGGCGGCTACACAGACATTGACTTAGCTGTGGATGAGTCCGGTCTCTGGGTCATCTACAGCACTGAGGCGGCCAAAGGTGCCATTGTCCTTTCCAAACTGAACCCAGAGACTCTGGAAGTTGAGCAAAGCTGGGAGACAAACATCCGTAAGCAGTCCGTGGCCAATGCCTTCATTATCTGTGGCACCTTGTACACTGTCAGCAGCTACTCAGCAGGCAATGCTATGGTCAACTTTGCTTATGATACAGACACAGGCAGCAGCAAGGCCCTGAGCATCCCCTTCAGGAACCACTACAAGTACACCAGCATGATTGACTACAACCCCCGGGAGAAGAAGCTCTTTGCCTGGGACAACTTCAACATGGTCACCTATGACATCAGGCTCTCCAAAATGTGAGAAGTCGCCAAGACAGAGCAGAAAAGGCAGGAAGAGACAGATGATGTGCAGAAGTTTGGGAGGAAGCTGGCTGAAAGGAGAAGTGGCCCTCTCAAAACAAAACTGCTTTTCTCAGCTGTTCAAGTTCTCATTAATCTGCAAACATACACTATCCCTAGGCCTGACTCTACAAGAATAGCAATCTGAAGACTTAAGATGGTTTCATGTCATAATAGATATTCTTTTCTCTTACCAACTCCCCCCCCTCTAAATTTTAATGAGATGTTTAACCTAAATAGTTTATCAAGTCTTTTGGTGATTGAAGACTAGACCATAATCACAGAGCTTTGCATTTTTTTTCTTCCCCCACCCCCAACGACCCTCACTGGCCGAAGAAGGTACGTTTGCAGAAGAGTTTGGAAAGGGCATGTTGTCTTGTGTGGAATCCAGGACCATCGTCTGATCTTTTCAGTTTTTGTACTGTTATCACAGGCCACATTCAAAGGCAGCACTTTCTTTAGAAAAGAACTCTTGCAGCGAGCACTGAACATAATTAGATGAGCAAACTCGTTTAAGTAAACAAGTGGCTTTAATGCTTCTGATAGAGTGCAGTTGGGTATTAACACTATGGTGTGAAATAAAAATTACCTTACAACACATTCTTACCTTTGAGTGTAGTAGACACTATGTATATGAAAGCCCATTTCAAACTCCTTTGGCTTGGAGATGTGATTGTCCTTGCTAAAGGGGTGTGTATTGGTGTGTAGCTGAGAAGCTTGTGTCTGGTTTTGAGGTGTGCTGATACCAGGAGAAAACAGTGGAATCAACCTGTCTCACTCCCATCTCCTGGCACTCATGGCTCTTCCTGAATAATCTCTCCATTTCCCCCCACATAACCTTCTCTTCACCCTTCTTCTGTGCTTTGGGTCTCTGCCATCACAGGCATACATTCCACAACTGTAAGCGAACAAACTATAAATATATATATATATATATATATATACACATATACATACATATACTATATATCTATATATATCTCTATATCTATATCTCTATCTATCTATCTATATCTCTATCTATCTATATCTCTATCTATCTATCTATCTATCTATCTATCTATCTATCTATCTATCTATATCTATCTATACTTTTTTCTATCACTGACCTTCGTTTCTGCTTCAACTGCCATCGCCCTGGGACTCCAACCCAACAATTACGTCAATTCTCCGCAGGTGGCACGTGGGCTGGGACGAAGAGGGAGAGCGGCTCCTGTAGCATTCTGAGCAGAGGGGAAGGACTCCGGTCACAGTTGATCTTCCGCCTCGGTGGTGTTTATGCTTCTCATCACGTCTGGTTTTTGTCATCTGCTCAGTTTCCAGCTGACATCCACATCTCCGTATCCACTCCCAGCTCTGGCAGGCTCCACGTCCTGAGGATCGGGTGTGCTGCAGTTTTCTAGCCTGCTCTGTGTCTGTCCTATCCCTTAGGGAGTGTCCAGGACCTTTCAGGAGCTTGCTGACACCATAGGCAACTCCAGCAGCTCAGGCCTTCTCTTCATTGGCCAAACTCTTATGGAGTCGGAACAACTCATAGGTGACCCTTCATTGAGTTCAGAGGTTGTAAATCTCATGGGAGAAGATTGCCCATCTTTCTCTCTGGGAGCTGCTGGTGGATTTGAACTTGCAGAGATGTTTCGTCTTTGGGTCAGCAGCACGCCTTCCTACCGACTATGCTACCAGAGCTCCCTAGACCAACCTCCAAGCCCCTTTCGTTGTTTTGTTGCTGCCCCCTGCTGGTGTGGAGCCACTTCTCTTGCATGTTTGCCACTGCCAAGGGTTTTACTTAGAAGCAAATACAAGCCTTCTCGGCTTTCAAATCCCCCAGACACTCAGGGCCTAGCCTGTTAGGAAGACTTCCTAGCAGCCAAAGTTGGCTTTTTCTCATTCAAGATCCCTTGCTAACCCAGGTGTTACTCAGATTGCAGGAATGGGAGCATCTAGACACACTGCTATCTAATTTTTTTTAAGTTAACTTTTATTATTGTTGTTGTTGTTATGTGCCGTCGAGTCGCTTGGGACTCACAGCGACTTTATGTACAACAGCCCTAAACTCTGCTCTGTCCTGTGTCAATCGCACTGTCTCAGACACACCCATTCCGATTACCCCAGTCACTGAATCAATCCACCTCATAGAGGGTCTTTCCCTCCTGCACTGTCCCTCCACCCTTCCAAGCATGATGTCCCTCTCCAAGGACCGGTCCCTCCTTACAACATGTCCAAAATATGTTAGACGGAGCCTCTGAATCCTTGCCTCCAAGGAGCCGCCCGGTTTAACCTTTTCGAGGATGAATCTATTTGTTTTCTTGGCAGTCCATGGTACCCTCAATACTCTTCTCCAGCACCACAGCTCAAAGGTATCAATTCTCCTTCTATCCTCCTTAGTCACTGTCCAACTCTCTGATGCATAACAAGTGATAGCAAAGACCATGGCCTGTATCAGACGCACCTTAGTCTCCATTGCTCTTCAGTACCTTGGAGAGGTGCCTAACAGCAGACTTTCCCATGGCAATGCGCCTTTTAATTTCCTGGCTACTGGTGCCAAGAGTGTTGACTGTGGAGCCAAGCAAACTAAAGCTGTGAACAATCTCAATCTCTTCACTATCCATCCTGATGCTGCCAATTGGTCCAGTGGTGAGAATCTTTGTCTTCTTGACATTGAGCCTCAATCCATATTGGAGGCTGCAGTCCTTGACCCTGTGCAGCAAGCACTTCAGGTCCTCCTCAGTTTCAGCAAGCAGGGTTGTGTCATTTGCATAATGCAGATTGTTGATGAATCTTCCACCAATCCTGACACCCCACACTCCTCCTCATAGAGCCCAGCCTCCCGGATAATCTGTTCTGCATACAGGTTGAAAAGGTATGGAGATAGGACACATCCCTGGCATACGCCCTTCCCAATTTTGAACTATGCAATGTTTCCTTGCTTTGTTCTGACGACTGCCTCTTGGTCCAAGTATAGGTTTCACATTAGCACAATCAAGTGTTCTGGGATTCCCATTCTTCTCAGAGTCAGCCACAGTTTGTTATGATCCACACAGTCAAATGCCTTTGCATAATCAATGAAACACAGATAGACATTCCTCTGGTATTCCCTGCTTTCAGCCAAGATCCATCTAACATCAGCTACAATATCCCTAGTACCACAACCCCTTCTAAACCCAGCCTGGACTTCTGGTAATTCTCTGCTGATGTGCTGTTCCAGTCCTTTTTTGATAATCTTCAGTAAATCTTGCCTGCATGTGAAATCAACGATATTGTTCTATAGTTTCCACACTCTGTTGGGTCACCCTTCTTTGGAATTATAAAATTTCAAACATTCATCAACATAGAGAGAATAGAATGAATCCCAAAGTACTCATCACTTAGCTTCAATAGTTCTCATATAGACCAATCTTGTTTTATCTGTCTATCCCTTGCTTCTTTCCCTGAGCCACCCTTCTGCCCTCTCTGTCTTAAATCAAATCTCAAACACTGTATCTTTAAAAAATTATTTCCTAAAACCAAGACCACGCTTTTGATTTCCAAGAAAACTAGCTTTTGAAAGTCAATTAAACTCATTACTGTTAGGTTAGTACTGACTCTTATCTGACGCAGCCAGTTTCTATGACAGTCTATAACATGGAAAAAGATTGGCCATCTTTCTCCTGAGGAAAGGCCTATTGTTGTTGTTGTGTGCTGTGCAGTCGGAACTGACCCATAGCTGACCCTCTAGTGGGTTTTCAGACTCAGTAAATCCCACGGGAGGGGACTGCGTATCCTGCCAGTGGATTCAAACTGTGTGCCTTTGAGATCCGAATTCAGCTTCTTACCACTAGGCCACCAGAGCAGATTCAAATCAGCAGAGAGGTGTGGTCTTTTGTTTAACTGTACAACTCCCTATAGACTATGTTACCGGAGTTTCCTTTGAAAGTCAAACCCTTTCTTACAAAGCTATTCTCCCATGGATTCTAAATCGTACATGTTAGAACGAAACATCAAAAACGTGACGTTTCTTTTCCTCAGAAGTCAATTATCATTAGGCAATGCATAATGTAGTGAAAAGGGAAAGGAAGGGAAGCAAAACAAAAGTAAACCAGTCGCCACTGAGTTCTCTCCGTGTCTTGATGAGCTCATGTGTGTCAGAGGAGAACACGAATCAAGATTTGTCAGTGGCTCCTTTCTAATAAGTAAATAACCAAGCAAATAACCAAGCCTTTCTTCTGAGAAACTCTAGGTGGATTCAAACTTCTAACCTTTCAGGCAGCAGTTGAGTATAACCTTTACTGCCACCCAGAGACTATGAAACCTTGGCAGAGACCTCAAAAAGTCTACTCCCCAGATATTGCTATTCTCTCACATTGATACTCAAAGCTCATTGCCATGGAGTCAGAGCCAACTCCTAGCTAACCCTCCAGTGGTTTTTTTTTTTTGGAGGCTGTAAATAACACAGGAAGAAATTGCCTATCTTTCTCTCATGAAGCACCTAGTGAGTTTTAACTGCCAAAGAGACACATCCAAATATTAGCCACCCAACTCCCCTGCAGACTGTGCCACCAAAGCTCTCTTTGATAGTTGACTCTTTAAAAAAGTCCCAAAGTCAGAGTACATTAATAAACTCATTTACCCTGCCCAACACTTTAGTTATCAGGTGTTTAAATGAAAAGTATGACATTAGGATGCACCTTTGGGTGATGTATACATAGTACACAAGCAAAACCCAAACAAGATAGTTTTGAGTCATAGAGATCCTATAGAATGGAGTAGAACTGCTCTGCCTTATGGAGTTTCCTAAACTTTGTGTATTTAAGGAAGCAGAGTGCCTTATGTCTCCTGCTGAAGGGTGTAGGTTTGAACCACTGACTTTGAGGTTAGCATCCATAAGTTTTAACCATCACATCACCAGGGCACATGAGGGTGCACACATGTGTGCGCAAGCGCGTGCATGCACGCGCGCTCACACACACACACACACACACACCA